GGCGGAGGACAGGGGAAGAAGAAGAGGCAGAGGAGGAGGGGCGGCGGCGAAGAAGAAGTCGGAGGAAGAGGGGGGTCAGCATGGTGGGGGTTCAGGTCCCGAGATGGGAGGAGCAGTTGGAGGAGCCACGAGGGCAGTGTGGGAAGAGTGGGATGGGGTCCAGAGATGGGAATGAAGGCACGGAGACAGGAGGAGGGCGGGGAGCCAGGGTCAGGGGTTGAAGGGTGGGAGAAAACAGAGAGAAAGAGTGAAGCTGGAAAAGACGGGAATCCAGGGGCGGGAAAGAGAAGGGAAGGGGTGCTGGGGAGCAGGGGAGGCAGGCAGCAGGAGCTGGGTGTGTGTGTGTGTGTGTGCTGCGTGTGCTGGGAGGGGCGTGTACCTGCTCACGCTCAGCCTGCCGCCTCTCCTCCTCCCGCCGCAGGGCCTGCATGTCCTCCAGCCGCCGCTGCTGCTGCTCCTTCTCCTGCAGCTTCCGCTGCTCCCGCTCCCGCCGCTGTTGCTGTGGGGGACAGCAGTGGCGGCTGAAGGGATTGGCCCAGAGCCCGGGGCAGGCCGGCTCGTCCCCCACGGGCACAGAGGGCAAGTCTCCCTTCTCGCTGAAGGTGCCATCCCTGGGTGGCACACAGTTTGGGGCTCAGCTGCCAGCGAGAAGGTTGGTGAATTCAGTCCACCCAAAGGTGCCTATGAACTTAAAGGTGATCAATGAACTTTTTTAAAAAGTCCACTGCAGACCCTCTGAAACAGTTCCATTGCGGTCATCAGACTCGGTTTCACAGCAGCTGTCTACTTGTTTTTTAAGGTTAGCAAAGGGTTTGGAACCAAAAGACCGGGCTGTGATTACAGCCTTTGGCCACAAGAGGGAGCCATGTGAGCGTGCCCAGAAAAGCGATCTTCCTCTGACCACAAGGTTATAGCCCAAACTCACTGCGGACTCACAGGGACACTTGAGGGCAGCGTAGTTTCTCAGTTTCTCAGACCCTAACCCTGAGAAACCGTCAGTTTCTCAGACCCTAACTCTACGGAAATAGAAAGACCCGTTTTGCCACCCCCACCTCCCACGCCCCCTCCCGCACGCAGCGGCTGGTGGTTTCAAATTGCTGAGCTGACTGCTAGCAACCGGATGCATAACCAAAGGTTACAGGGACCTGGAACATTAAGAAACTTACAGCAGGGACTTGGCCCGCTCCTTGGGAAAGAAAAGCAGCCCGGGCTGCCCTTTCACAACCTTTCTGACCAGAGTCCACCCCAAACAAAACAAAGCAAAGCCAGGCGGGGCAGGCGCCCAACGGCCGTGACGCGTGTGGACGTCACTGCGCCTGTTTCTACAATGAAGGGTCCCACGGGCCCTCTCTAAGGCGTGATTTTGTGACCCTTCCCTCCAGAAGCGAAAATGACATTTGTTTACTTTCGAGGCGTTATTTAAAATTAACAGTATTAATTTAAAAGAGCCCTGGAGGCACTGTGGGTTAGGCATGGGGCTTTTACCCAACCGTAGGGTTGGCAGTTTAAACCCGGCAGCCGTTGTGCAGGAAAAACGCGAGGCTGTCTGCTCCTATCAGGACTGCAGGGAAGCCAGTGCAGGGTTGCAGAGTCAGAATCGACAGCATGGCAGGGGGGTTGGGAATGGATTAAAAACAATTTCCTTCTACCTACTGCAAATTAGTTCAAATTAATTGACAAGACTGCACCGAAAACCAAACTACAGCCAAAATGCCCATAAGTAAAAGGATGTTCTTTTGAAGGAGCGCTGAGATTAGAGCTGAGAGCTAGGTTTGTCCTTGTCAGAAGGGACAGCTTTCAGGAGCAAAGGGCAGGGAGACCATTGCCCTTGGCCTCTGATCATGGAGGAGGGAGCTCCCCCCCATAACCCTGGAAGACCTACTTCCCCTGCTGCCCTGATGGGCGCGGGGCTGGGCCAGGCATGCCAGCCAGGTCTTAGCCCAGGCAGCCTCACCTCCTCGACACGCCTCCGCTCCTCCTTTTGCTCCTCTATGCGCCGTTGCCGCTGGTGCAGGAGGTGCTTGATGTGGGCCTCGGGGTCTCGCTGCTGCTGCTGCTGCAGCTGCTGCTGCTGCTTCAAAGCCTCTGAGTTGCTTTTATTCTCCTGCTGAAGCCGGAGAAATTCCCGGCGCAGCGTCGACTCTCCGGGCACGTTCATGATGGAGCTGGGTTGGGTTGGCACAGGGAGCCTGGGAGTCACAACCTGTGGTCTCTCATGCTCATGGATGGGGAGCCTATCGGAGGCGATGCTTTGTCTGGGCTGACCGGCCTGCCTACCATCACACCTGGTCCTGGACTTGCCTTCTACTCTGTCCAGCCTTGGGCCCTGTCCTCCTCTCATATCCCAGGCCCCTGCCTTTGGCCTGGTGTCATCCATCACCTCCCGCCTCCTAGTTCATTCGCTCCTTCCATTTAAATGGGTCTTGGCCTTGCTCTTGCCTCAGATGGAGGAGCCCCTAACGCAGTGAATATTGCATTAGGAATGACCCTCCAGCCCACCTTGGCTCTCCATCCTCTCCATGGCTGTCATCCTCCTCCTCGCTGCCGCTGTACTCGTACTCCGTCTCCTCTGCAGGGGGAGACCACGGCTGTTTCTTCAGCCAGCACCCCAGACCCCACCCAGGGCCGGGGAGACCTCCTCGGCTGGGGATAACCAGCAAGGTCTGTCGGGGTGACCCCACACCAGTGCCCACTGGGGGCTCCACCCGCCTCCTTTTAGTAGTGGGGTGGCAGGGGTCCCAAGGCTGGGCCTGCACAGAGGCTGGTAGGGACTGGAGCCCACAGCAGGGTGTGGGTGCAGACGCCCCTAGGCCTCCGCCCCCGAGAAGTTTCTTTCTGCAGAAGTGGAAAGGGCGATTCTGATTTGGAGAGCTGAGCGGAAGTGGGTGAAAACAGAGGAAAGGCGCTCTGGGCGCAGCAGTTGGGAACCGGGGGAGCAGGGGGCTGGCAAGAGACTTCAGGGGTGCAGGCCTGCCACCACGCCCTGCCCACTGACCCTTCTCGCCTCGCTTCTTCCGGGATCGGTCAATGTGGTCCTTGAGCTGGATGCGGACCTGCCGCTCGGTGGGCTGGTCCCGGATGAAGGGGAACTTAAGCAGCTGCTCGGTGGGCGGGCGACTGAGGTAAGTCTTGATGAGACACGTGTCAATGAAGTCGATGAACTTCTTAGACCTGGAAACGGTGCTGGCTCAGACCGCGAGCAGCCCCACAGGGAGAGTCTGCACCTTTCACCTGGTAGCCCTCTGACGACCCGCCCCATCCTATCAAGAGACCCCTTCGCCACGTGCCAACACCAGCCGGACCACAGGCCTGCGGCCACAGTGCCACCTCCCCGCTGGGGCAAACCCACGTCTGAGCTCAGGAGGCCGGGTGGTGCTCTGCAGGGCCCTTTGTACCAGTGACCCACCATTTCTTGGACTTGAGTCTGGGCGGAGGGTTCCGAGGGATGAGGAAGAGGGCTCGCATTGGGTGCATGTCACACAGAGCTAGGGGACAGAGAGACCCTGTCAGCTCCTCTGGCCATGCCGGGCGCCTGGAGGGGCCTTCTCAACCGGACCTGGCAACCCGCCAACCCTCAGAGCCTCGGCCCCTCAGCACTTACGGGGGGCTCCCTCTGCCATCTCTATGGCTGTGATTCCGAGAGACCAAATGTCACTCTGTGGAGAGGAGAGAAGCCGGGACAGGGGACACTTCCTGAGGACGGCTCAGGCACTCATCCACCCACCAACTCTTCAACACTGTTTCCTGGCCCAGGGCTATGCCATCGCTCCTTCACTTTGTGTCCCCCCACCCCGTTCAGTCTACCCATAGGTCCAGCTTACTTCCTGCCTGGGCTGCCCCATGCCCCCAGCTTTCCGCTTCGTACCCTGTAATCGTAGGTGGCGTCGGGGTTCTCGTCACAAGCGATGACCTCCGGCGCCATCCAATAAGGGGTCCCGATGAACGTGTTCCGTCGGCCCACGGTGCGGTCCAGCTGAGCACTCACCCCAAAGTCCACTGCGAAGACAGGGGACTCAGGCCAACAGCCCTGCCTGGGACTGCTGAACGCAGCTGCTACCATGTCCAGCTGTTGGTGTGGCCCTGCCTGGGCCCTCTCCCACCCCACCAGCATCTTGCAGAGCCTGGTCTGGTCCTCCTGGGTCTCAGGAGATGCAGGCTGACAGGACCAAGGGCCGGCATCCCAGGCAGGTGTGGTCACAACAGCCCAACTCCCCAAAGGCACCTGCATCGCATGAATACCCAATAGGTAGTGGGCAAGCTTCCCAGTGCTTTTTAGCAGGAGGCCAGGCGGCCCAGGGGAGGAGCTGGCCTGGCACACAGTGTGGCCTGGGTGCCACCAAGGGCAGCGAGGGGGAAGGGAAGCCCTGTCCCGGAGGAAATCGCACACCTAGTTTGACTTCAGCATTCTCGGTCAGCAGCACGTTCTGCCCCTTGATGTCTCGATGAATCACCTTGTGGGCATGGAGATGGGCCAGACCCTGGGACAGGAGAGTACGTAGGATTAGCCTTGGTGTAGGAGGGGTGGGGAGGGGCGAGGGCTGGAGGTGGCTCAGGGGAGCAGGAGGAGGCACAGGCCTGGCCACCTCGGGCTGGGTTGAGAGAGCAGACCCAGGGGCCTGCTCACAGGCCAAGCCTTCCTGGGGCGCTTCCTCAGAGGGGGGATGCCCTGTGGGCGCCCAGGAGCTGCAAGGCTCCAGAGAGGAATGGCAGGGTTTGGAGACGAGAGGCTTGTCCGAGTTCCCCAAGGCCTGGGACCCTCCTTCCTGCCTTTCTGGTCAGGCCAGCTACTCCCCAGAGAGGGCTCAGTCCCACGCGCTCCGCGGGCTGGGGAGGGTCCTGGCCAGGCTGCGGGGGCTCACCCTGAGAATCTCCCGGCAGATGTAGGCAATGCAGTCCTCCTTTAGCGCATTCCCCTTCGTGTTCTTCACCAGGTCAGTCACCGAGCCTGCCCCGCAGAACTCCATCACCAGCTGGGGGGCGGGGGAGAGGGGGCACAACCATCAGTCTTGGCCTTGCCCTGCCTGTCGGAGGCCTTGGGGATAGAAGTGACACGGAGCGGCGAGCTCAAGAGAGCCAGGAGAGGGGATGCCGGCCCGGCCAGATGGACGGGCAGGACGAGGCTGGGGAAAGCAGTCTGGGTCTCGAGTAGGACCCGGAGCCTTGGATTGTAGACATGTCAGGTGCATGCCCTGGGGGTCAGGGAGCCAACACTTTTAGCAGATTCTCTGCCCCAGCGCCTACAGACTATTGCTCTGAAGCAGGCTGCCTGAAGCCCGGTCTGTACGGCCAGCGAGTGGGCTCAGGATGTTTTCCACATGTCCAATGGTTGGGGGACAGAAGTCAAAAGATGAGTGCTACTTGGTGACATGTGGAATTCAAATTTTGGTCTCCTCATTACAATCTTTTGGGGGACACAGCCATGCTCCTCTCTCCACATGCTGGTGGCGGCGGTGTTCGCAGTCTGAGGGCAGAATCAGGTATTTGCTCCCTGACTTTCACGGCAAAGGGGTGTCAGTCCTAGGTCCAGTGGCAACGAAGGGGCTAAGAAGCTGCCAGTCCCCAGTTCTGCTAGAGAAAAAATCGGGGCATGGGGCCCACCCAGAGAGCTACCGGAGAGAACCTGGGGAGACGCAGGTTCCCCACTGGGAGCCAGAGCCAGGGAGCAGCCAGTGAGACTGTGAGCCCCCACCCTGCACCTGCAGGAAGATCTTACCCAAGACTCAGGCAGAGGTTAAGTGGGAAGCCAGCCCGAGCCACTCGATGGGCAGCCAGTGTGCTGTGCCTGCCCAAGTGACCTCACGAGACACTTTCCACTTGGAGAAAGGCTGGCTGACACAGGTATTTGCATAGGCAGTAGAAGGAATGTGCTATGCCAAGTCCGGACAGCCTCCTGTCTGGGAGCCCAGTGGGTGAAATGAGGACCATGCCAGCCGGATCCAGGAGGGGGCGCCTGCCCCTGACACCTAGCCTCTAGCCTGGATGCTCTCCCTACACACACTGGGCAGGTAGAGCTACTGGAGGTATTCAGGGCACACCCGAGAGGACTGGGTGCCTGGGAGGGCGGGTCCGCGGCTCGCCATCTGTGCCGGACACACGGAGGTTGTTCAGTAAGTGCTTGTAGTCTAGCTGACTGTGGTGGGGAGAACCTGCCACTACCTACCCAACTCCTGCCACACTCTCCTCAGGGCACACCCGGGCGGGCACCTGGCACCACAGCCCAGGCAAGGGAGGAGGATGGCTCCTGGGAAAGCTCTGGGCCAGAAGAGAATTTAGGGGGGCACAAAGAGCCTGTTCGGGATCCGGAAAGAGCAGTCACCCGGAGGGTCGTGTGGTGCACTGACCACAGGATGGCTCTGCTGCTGTCCTGGGCTGTGCTCTTGGGAGGGAACCAGTGGCCTACACCCCCTGGGGCCTCTTCCAGCCCCCCCAGGCTCACCACAAGTTCATAGGTCCCTGCCAGACAGTGTGCGGTATTGGCTAGGGCAGCAGCCCTGTCACCCTAACACGCAGACAAGAGTGCTGTGGGAGGGGGGGCGAGGGGAGGGGGGCTCCTGTGATGGGGAGGGAGGGGTGACAGGAAGAGACTCTGGTCACCAAGGGGAGCAGGGAGGGCAGGGGAGGGCACTCTCACCCAGAGCTGGTCGTCACTCCCTGGGGGGCTCTTCTTGATGAAGGCCCCATAGTAGGTGGCAATGTTGCGGTGGTGAGAGTACTTTTTCAACATGTTGATCTCCTGTTTGATCTCTTCCTCCTCATCCTGGGTGCAGGGGAAGAGGGGCACCCTGAGATGCCCCCGCTCCCCTCTTCAGGGCCCCGACCCAGCTCCCCCGGGGCTCCAAGCCCTACCTCCGTGACATCCATAACCTTGATGGCAGCCAGCTGCCCAGTCTTGACATGCCGACCCTGCCAGACAGAAAGCGGACATGGAGTGGCCAAGTCTACACTCAGCAAGGAGCAGTGTTGAGCGGCTGAGCAGGGAGGGGCTGCACTGTAAAGACCCCTCTCTGGGGCTGGACACCTCGGCTTATGTGTAGGCCCCAGGGGCAGGCAGACGGGACAGAGTTCCTGAGCCACTGTGACTACCTGCAACAGGAAGGGTCCCCTCCCATTAAAAGCATGTGCACTCTTGCTCTGCGACAGCCCCCGTCTTGGACTTTCAGCGATCTGAAGGGCAGGGCAGGAAGAAACGCTCCCTGCTCCCTGCTGAAATGCTGGCTGGGGAAGGCAGCTGGGGAGCCAGGGGCTTTGGCCTCAGCTCTTGCTTTCTGGACCCACCCCCTTTAGACAGGACACCTCCACCATATCCACCCTGCCCCAGGCACGCTGCTGTCATCTGGCAGGAGGGGAATCAAGGCCGAGGGGAGGTTCCTGAGAACTCGGGTCATACACAGGGGCTGACTGGCAGGGCCCACTGCCCTGTCATCAGTCCTAAAGGGGAGAAACAGCCCCTTCCAGAGGGTTCCCCTCCTGCGTCCCCCTCCTCCCTCCACAGGACTCATCTCGGGCTGGGACAGGGCAGCCCAGAGCAGGGTCGGGGCAGCCCCTCATGTATGGACACGGGCGGGCTAGCCTGTGGGTTATCTTCATCCTCAGCAGCCACTCAAGACCCCAAGCCCAGAGGGGCAGTGGGACACAAGCTATAATTTCCATGGCAACTGCCTAAGCAGGGGGGGGGCAGCGGGGGTTGGGTGACTATCTCCAAAGCTCATAGGCCTGGAACAGAAGAGGAAGGCGGTGGTCCTGGTGACCACCCCCGCAATGCAGAGGGGACCTGGGAAAATGCCAGGCGTCTGGCCTAGAGGCAAGGCAACAGGTGAGCAGCATTCGAGGGGCTTTCTCCAGCTCCAGGGCAGCAGCCCCTCCCTGCTGCGGGGACACCCCCACACCCACACCGTCCAAGTGTGATCCACGCACAAGCCATGTGAAGGGCGTTGCCATTTCTGTGCAGGACGGGAGCCTCCACAGCAGAAGGTGGGGTTCTGAGGGGGATGGGGGAGCAGGGGGCCCAGGAAAGCCATTTCCCTCTACAGAGGGTCAGCCACACCAACTTTAAGTTCCAGGTCCCTCTGTGATCTTGCCAGGTGCCAAACCCACAGCCTTGGCCCAAGCTCTGACACATCCTCCGATCCCCACCCTGTTCCCTCTCCCATCTCTCGGCTGCACGGCCCACACCCCATCCAGCTCCAGCCCTGTGCTGTGGTGCCAGGCCCAGTTCTGAACATGCCGCTTCCTGCTGCTCCCCTGGGCTGCCCTTCCCAGAATCCCCAGCTCCTTTAGCTGCCAAAACCACCCCCTGCAAATCTCCAGACCTGTGGTCGCTCCATTCCTCGAAAGGATGCAAATGGGGTGGAAGCCACACCTCACATCTTACCTTGTACACCTGTCCGTAGGTTCCATTGCCGACCACCTCCACCAGCTCAAAGATGCCAGCAGGGTCCTGGCGGGTAAAGGAAGGGAGACACAACAGGAGGGGTCAGGCCTGTCCAAGAGGGTGGGTGGAGCAAGAGGCCTTCAGTCAGGACAGTGAGTGAGCACCCTGGATTTCTTGAGGGCTCACAGGAGGAAACCTGGCCAAACAGTGCCCTTCCCTGAGGTACAGGGCACGCGTTTGATGAGGTAAGTCCGCAGGAGGGGAGAGAAAACAGAAGTCCGGGCCCAGTCAGCTTTGCAGAGTCATGGTCCCTGTTTCAGGCCCATGATGAGCTCTGTGAGTCTGAGCCCGCATCTATACAAGGGGACGGCAGAGGACACCTGGCCTCTAGGGCTGCCGTAAACGTGAGGGAATGCCCTTAAAATGCTAAGACAATGCCTGGTCCCGAGCATGAGCTCGCTCAAGGTTCATGATCATCACGCTCGCGTTACGGTTTCTGTTTCTGTTTTTTTGAAACCGGGGTAAGGAGATCGAGTGAGGAGCAGGGCTTAGAAAGGCACCTCCCGTGGGTCTTTCTCCCCTCCGAGGAGCAGGTGAGCGGGAAAAGGGTCACAAGAGGGGCAGGCTGGGATGAGAGAACAGCTCGTTCCTACTTCCCTGAGCCAAGCAGTGCCAGGAGGAGAAGGCTCGAAGGGCCTGAACAAAGCCTCCACAGAGACTCATCCTCCTGCTGGGCCAAGAGCAGGCAGGCTGGCCCTGGGGCAACACAGCTGCTGCCGGGAGGCCACCCACACCCTCCTGGCAGAACCTTTTCTTGAGAGAGAGAGAGAGAGAGAGAGAGAGAGAGAGAGAGAGAAGCGGGGCAGTGGAGCTGCAAGCCAACGTGCACTGGGCACGGCTCCTACCACTCCTGTACATCCGCTCTCATCTCACAGGGCAGGACTGGACGGAGAGAGGAGACAGGAAGTGAGGTGAACTCTCTGGTATCACTGGGGCCCGGTGCTGTAAGTCCTAGACATGCATCATCTGAAACGCTTTCCCCCGATTCTGAAAGCCAACGTAGTGTTTCTGGAAACAAAGCGCACAGGCCTTTACCCACTGGAGCGGGTAGGGAGATGACCCGGGTATGCTGTGATTGGGAGACACCAGCCAGAGGCTTTTTAAGAACACCCTGGCTGTCCCGTCTTTGTCCAGTTTCCCGGAGCAGGGATGAGAAGCCAGGAAATGGTCTGAGAGCTCCGGGCACTCCCCATCAGAGCCTGGGTCTCAGACCATGAAGGAGACGGGCCGAGTCCTCTCCTCCTCACGCACCAGGGCGGACACACGGCAGTCTCAAAGAATATTCCAGGTCCCGGCTGGAATCCTCAGAGGGTCTGCTCCGAGGAAGATGGAACAGGGCTCCCCACAAGAGCACTGACAGGGACAAGGCTGGACAGACCAAGAGCTGCTTGACGCATGTCCAACTGCTTAGCTTCAGCTGGCACTGCCAGAGAGCTTCAACCGGTCTGAATACCAGGGAATACCAGGGAGGTGCTGTAGCTGCAGGCGGGCAGACGAGTGGTTTATGGGAACCCGAGCCTTACTCAACCTCGTCTGCCTGCGTGTCTACACTTGTGTGCTCAGCACGGTCCCCTCAAGGAAGAACTCATCGATCTGGGGCCTCTAACGCTGGCTACTGACACGTCTATCTTGGGTGTCTGATTCTTAGTTCTTCCTCAGATGGAGGCAGGCAAGAAAAAGGCAATGTGTTCATGATTTCTTTCTTTTTTTTTTTTTCTCCATGATTTCTTGGAAGCAGAAAAACACCCGGGCCTTTCAGGAGTCAGAATGACCCACCTCTACCACTAACCCAGCACAAACCGAGAACCAAGCTCACGGCCTCACAGGCCCCTGTGGACAGAGCAGAGCTGCCCCGTGGGTTTCCGGCACGGCAAGACTGAACAGAAAGCCTTGTTTCTCCTGCGGGGCCGATAGGGGTTCGAGCTGCTGACCCATGCGTAACTCACTACGCCACTCGTGCTCCGTGAAGCTGGCCCAAGTCAACTCAATTCTGTGATGTCAACTCCTTCCCACACGGAGACGCCGAGGGGAAAAAGAACCATCTCTGAGGTCAGACATAAGCCAGCTTCCTCTTCTGGAAGATAAGCCGAACCACTGACTTGAGGGGGCTACTCTGAGAATTCCTCAGAGAGCGAGCAAGCGAGCGTGTGCTGTCAGGGCGCCCTGGCGGGGCTGTCAATGAAGGGGTAGACTGCGAACTGCTAAGTCATTGGTTCAAACCCAGAGGCCTCTCTCAGGAAGAAAGACGGAGCTGCCTGCTCCCTTCAAGATTTACAGCCTAAGAAACCCCACATAAGGCCACGATGCGTCAAAACTAACTGCTTGGCAGTGGTCTTCTGTTGTCTTTGTTTTTAACATTCTGCACAGAAGAACCTGTCAGGGTTCACTTCTGGCCACCTCCTTCCTTGTCCACATCACAATCACCTGTCTGTCTTTTCTCTCGCTCTCCATTCC